AAGAATTTGTGTGTGTGTGTATGTGTGTGTGTGTGTGTGTGTGTGTGTGTGTGTGTGTGTGTGTGTGTGAAGATATAGATACACTTCTTGAAGGTTAAGATTCATTCGGAAAATGCAATCTTTCAAGTGGTGTGGGAAAGGGTTCATGATGACATTATTTCTGAAAAGTTAACAATCAAAGTTCATTTTGACTTTTAATCAAATAGAAGGATTTGTTATCAATTAAATCACTCCTTAAAAAGCACAGGGCTGTGGGACCCGTGACTGAGATCTCCAAGCCCAAGTGGGACTGGGCCTCCTTCCACCATTTCCCAAGTCACACTCACAAACTGCACCATATAATCTCATCAACAGCCAAGATCCAGAGACTCAGAAATAAATCTCCTGGAAGAGAGCAACATAGGCCTCACCCATGAGTGAATCTGCTCTATAATCATAATTCTAAATTTTAGAATTCCTGGAGCTTGTGGCTGCATTTGCAGCCTCTCATACTCTATACCATTTCTGTACCAAGAGTAGCACACATTTGATTGGGTTTAACAAATATGTCTGTGATCTCTTCTTCAAGGGCTTAATGGCTCCAGGATGAAATAAAACAATCTTCACACACTTTCCTCTTTTGGGGGTGGGAAGGTGCAATGGTGGTGGGATTGGTGTTTGAATATTAAATATAATGAATCACTGTGAATAACTGTATAAAATTAAATTAAATTTAAAAAGCACAGGAGAATAGTCTAATATTACATAGATGGTGATGCAAGTTTAATCTGATGGTATAGATTTGCAATGAAATTATATAAAGCAGTAATCTAAAGACTTGACAAAAGATATCACACATGCCAAGTAATTACTGAAAAAACACACAAGGTTCTGTAAAGTTCTACAAAATTCAAGTTCCCTTAAAATAAAAACTCTCTATACCAAACGACTCACAACATGTGAGTATGTGATGACTATCCACGGTTCCTTGAGCCAATAATTAAAATTGAGTTCTCAGGGTAGAAGCCCCAATGTCTCCTTGTTTCTGTAGGAGTGACAGCCATAGATGTAACAGTTCCTCTGACAGGGTCCCCCTGTCTGACCAAACTCATGATCATATGAATCTGGTCTCAAGATTTTCACTCTTTTTAAACCTCTAGCACTTTATAGTCATTTCCTACCAGTCAGAAATATTAAGAAGACCAGAGTATAATTTCTCATTTTGTAATCCCAGCACTCCTTCTGTTCAATACTATACTCCTGCCTTGACCTACTAAGTCCAGGGTGACATAATTTACATGCCCCACCATCCGTTGAAAAGTCTCTAAGCCAGTCATTCTTCCTAGGCAGTCATTTCTACTGATGCCCTGGCAAAAACAACAGAGGCTAATACAAGCAGGACCTGCTGCTCAAACGAACCCACTGCTGTAGCTCTCCAACAAGGTAAGTCCTTGGGGGGAAAAAGGTGCTTCATACTTGACTAGTGTTAAGTACATCCTAACATAGTGTAAAGATTTATTTTAGAAAGTGGAGAAAATCAGAATAAGTAAATGCCTATATGAATAAAACAACAAATGACTTTGGATCCTTCCTAAGAAGAACAAAAGCAAATTGCACTTATTACCCAGTTTATGTCAGATCCTATGCCAGGCATGGTATATCTGTAAGGAATAAAATAGCTATGGTCCATTGTCCACTAGCATCTGGAGTCTCCTGAGGAAATATTACTGTGATAGCCCTGCCTCGGAAGCAATGACTGGTAAGTGGCATAACGAAGTTAGCAAATCAAATATAGGTAGAGGGTCTCTTTGATATCAGGTGCCATGAATTCTATACATATAGAGGTTTTAAGCTACGCCTCCTGAGTCTGTAGTACTGTAAACCAATAAGCAATGACTAACTTTTAAAGTGTCACTGAGCATAAACTTTTAACATATGTGCACTTTCCATTAATTGTATTATATACAGTGTTATTATGCTAATACACACATTGTAAAAGTAAAATGCAAATGAAATGTTAGAAAGGAGAACAAAGGAATAGACAAAACCAAAAGAAAACAAATCTTAGAACTGAGGTTGCCAGAGGAAGGGCGAAGAGAGACTGAAAAGGTGTAGAGGACAGTGATGGAGGGAGATTTGTATTTTTGCTGACAGGTGTGATGTCATTAAGTATTTTGAAGGGACATGAAATGTACTCATAATAAATATACAGCCTTATAAATCAAAATTACCTCAATAAGCATTTTTAGTTGTGTATAATTTTCCTATTGAAATAAATTTTACGGAACATAAAATTCACTGTTTTGAAGTATAATTCAGTACTGTTTAGTATTTCACAAGGTCATGCAACTATCGTCACTAATTTCAGAACACTGACATCACCCCAAAAAGAAACAACAAAATGTCAGCAGTTACTCCCAGTTCCTAGCCCATTTCCAGCCTACTCTCTGTCTCTAAGGATTTACTGTTCTGAACATTTCATATATAGAATCCTACATAATGTGTCCTTAGTTTTTAACATTTGTTTAGCAGCTCATGAGATCACTTGAAAACTTGTTTGCAATCAGTTTCCTGATTCATGATTGTAATCATTCTATATACAAACACGTCTCACACAGACCCAAGTAGAGAGGCCTTACTTTCGTATTCACAGCCATCAATTATTTTGTTGAAATTTGACTGGAAACTACCCATTTTCTCAAAGTATGCTTATATCAGCTATTATATTTTTTAATAACTGGTCCCAAATTCTCTGCAACTTTTTTTTTCCCTTTATTTTATTTTATTTTTTTTAAAGTTGTAGATTTACAATTTTTTGTGCTTTGGTTTCAATTATACAATGATCAGATACCCATCCCTCCACCAGTGCCCATTTTCCACCACCATGGATAATATCCCTCCCACCCCCATCCCCCCATCCCCCCGTCTCTGTGGCAGGGCAATCCCCTGTGTTCTCTCTCTCCTTTTGGGTGTTGTGGTCTGCAAAAGAGGCATTGAGTGGCAAATATGTTCAGTCCATAGTCTACTTTCGACACTCTGCAACTTTTTATCCAAGTTTTAAATAGACTGAAATGTCTGACACTGGACCGTTAAGATTTAAAGAATTTTTTTTTAATAACACATGCATGTGTTTAGTGACAAAAATCATGTTTAAAGTGACAACTATTCCAAAAGTCCTCCTGCATGTCATCCATTTGTTTCCAAAAGCAATACCTTTGTCATCCATTATCAGAACATTATTATATATTACTGGATTCTATCCAAAAGGATACAGTCGTGTTTATTTTTTAATATCTTTACATTTACTGTCCTATGACCGTGATCTTTTTGCTGAGCCAGCAATAGAATCAGGTTTGTGCGCCTTTGTGGGACGAGAACTCCCCACGGATTGAGTCGTTCTCCTGTGCCAAACACGTATCTTTTTTTTTTTCTTTTTTATTAGTGAAACACCATGAGGTACAGTTGTAGATTTACAAATTTTTGTGCTTGGATCTCGGTCATACCACGATCAAATACCCATCCCTCCACCAGTGCCCATTTTCCACCACCAGGATAATATCCCTCCCCCCTATCCTCCCATTCCCCCCTCCCCCCCGCCACTGTGGCAGGGCATTCCCCCCTGTTCTCTCTCTCCTCCTGGGCGCTGTGATCAGCCAAAGAGGCATTGAGAAACACGTATCTTTTTATAGTACTCCTCCCTCTCTACGGGAATTAAGTATACTTTGTCTAGTACCTGCCAGAAAATGGCAATGTTCTTAAAGTGAATATGAGTGTGGTACCACTATTACGGTTCCAAAAACTCAAGGCACACCTGAGGTCACTCCAAAGGGTCAAGTGCCATGGGTCAAAGAATCTAGTGAGATATCAACACCACAGCACAGAAACTATCAGTGTAGTTTAAAAGCCTTTTGTGTATGCAACTGAAAAATGCAAATAAAACTTGCTCATTTCAGGCCTCAATTTAAAAAATGTGAATTTTCATCAATGAATCATCATGAAAAACTGTAAAGATTTTTTTTAAAACTGAATTTAGCAGTGACTAAATATACTGAGTACTCAGAAAATATTTGTAGGAAAAGGCAAAGGAGGAAGGAAGAGAAAGGGGGGGTTGGGGAGATAAAAGTGATATATATCTGGGGCCCAATCAAAAATACAGCAGGTAGGGTGCTTTGCCTTGCATGCAGCTGACCCAGGTTCGATCTTTGGCATCCCATATGGTCCCCTAAGCCCTACCATGAGTGAGTCCTGAGAGCAGAGCCAGGAGTAATCCCTGAGCACTGCTGATTATGACCCGGAAACAAAATCAAAACCCCAAAAAAGTGATATGTCTTGAACAAAGTCTGTCACCAAAAACCTCTTTTGATATGGTTTTGTTAGTAACGTGGTTTTTTTTACATCTATGACTTAAGAATAGATAAAGAAGGGAGAAACTGACATGTAAGAAACCTGGGAAAGAGGATTTCCTTTCCTATGTCCTACAATTAGCTGTTTGGGTCTAAGCAAAAGAACCAACTCCTGACTCAGAGACTCCTGACAGAGTAAGATCCTGGCAGTTGCACATCACAGAAGTGTAAGGGGGACTTTCCATTTCAGGGCTCCTGAAGGAGTCAGATCCTGACAGCTGTACATCATGCAAGGGTAAGGAGTACAGAGGCAAAGGGGGGCCTTTCCACTTCAAGCAAATCTCATGAAAGTACAATTATACTGGGCACAAGCATATGAATCTCATACAAGATTGAGAGTCAGAAAATCTTTGAAAAATAAACATCTTCTGCCTTGGAGAATAGTTATATTAAGTTATTTGAAAGAACAAAATGAAAGCCAAGGGAAAAGGAAGCGGAGATGACCTCAGGTGCTGCTCCCCACAATGCAACAAGTGTACAACACAAAAGGCAGATTCACTCACTGCAGGGCAGTCATACCATTTTTGGTTTTTAAAAGAAATCCAAAGTATTTATGATGTGCTGCAGAAAACTGAGTTTAAAATGTTGTCCCATAAAAATATGAAAAGCAATTCCTACCTTTGTGATGAGAAGTCGGTATTTATCCAGCATTGCCTGGTTGTCATGGCAATTTGCTAATAACTGCCACACCTCTGCCCTCAATGCTTCAGGGACCCCACTCCTCACCAGAGTGGAGAGCCCTTTTGGTCGTGCGCTAAGATTATTTTGCCTGAGGAAACAAAAAAATAAGCCATAGTCCCTTAACTCTTGCTATTATGGACAGTATACATATATATATTTAAACATTTTTTATTGGAATCACTATGAGATAGACCATTACAAAGCTGTTCATGATTGAATTTCAGTCATATGGTATTCCAACACCTATCCCTCCACCAGTATATTTCCCAGAATACGGACAGTATATTAAGTAAGTAAGTAAAGTAAGTAAAGGCCCTCCCGTTGATCGTCGATTTGCTCGAGCGGGCCCAGTAACGTCTCCATTGGAGACTTTGTTGTTACTGTGTCTGGCATATCGAATACTCTCGGTAGCTTGCCGGGCTCTCCGAGAGGGGCGGAGGAATCGAACTCGGGTCGGCCCTGTTGGCTGCGTGCAAGGCGAACGCAGAGGGTAGGGCGTCCATGATTCAGAGGTTCACAAATGAATCTTGCAAGAGAGCAGTACACCGCAGAGAAGCCTCTGGACCCCAAATATTTTTAAAAATAATTAGAATTCCAGGAGTGTGTGGTCACTTTTGCACCCGCATGACATCTCATACTATTTATAAGAAGCAATACAAAATAAATTCTTTATCATGTGCCTTGGGTGGTGGTGGGAAAATTTGAAATAATGGTGGTGGGAAGGAGTAATGGTGGTGAGATTAGTGTTGAAATGTTGAATGTAAACAATTATTGTGAACAACTTTATTAAAATAAAATTTTAAAACTAAACAAAATAAGAGGCTGAGTTTATAATCAATCATGAAATAAGAAAATTCTATACCCTTTTTTATCAGTAACAAACTTAGGGACTACTTGAATGAATTTTTATCTGAGGGGGTCAGTAAAACAAAACTGACTATTCTGAACAACTTTATATCTGAATAAACTAATAAATACATCTTCCAGACATAAGTATAATAAGAGTATACTGGTTAAAAGACATAATGAATAGCCATAAAATTTTTTAGTATATTAAAATACTTATGCAGGTACATATAGGATAAGCTTAATAAAACTAATCAGAAAATATGTTAACAAAAATGTTTAATAAGCAAAATGTAAGTTTACCATCTTCCTAGCAATTCTCCCCAAGAATACAGGATCTTCTCAGGACAATCCTTAGACACATCTCCTGTGCCGCTTGAGAGCTCATTATCACTTTCTGAAGAAACAAAAACAAAACCAGCACTGTATTACGCTATTTAGATTATAGAGCAAGAAAAATGACTAGTATTAAATACAACAAATGACATTATTTCATTACAATCACCGTGAGGGAAAAAAAAAGTAAAAACATAAACTAGACAGGATAAAAGAATAAAGTGAGACTCTGAAGACCAAAGAACAGAACACGAAGAGGTACAAGCAGTAAATGATAAAGCACAGAGAAGAGAAAATGGAACCATACATGTAAAAGGGTAGCTTGGGTTTTGAAAAAGCAACTATAAACCATTCTACAAAGGTTTAAGAGGGGAGGAGGCAAGATGGACAAATTATAAAAAGCTAGAATACCTTCTGGGTGAGCAATTTTGACATCACAAGAGTCATTACTCTCTAGCATTATTACATCACAAGATTTATGTCAGGCATTTCTCTCTAGCTGACCAAGTGTTCCCCCTCTAGGATATTCTATTAAGCCGTACATATTATAATCATCTGTTTCCCTCCACATCTTTCCTCATCACACTCCTGACTTTCTTGGCCATGAGGCCTTTTTGGAAGTTATTGTTGCAGAGTCCACTGCTTGTGATACTTTGCGGGGGGCCACCCAGCACCATATATCAAACCCAAGGCCCCACATACAAGGTATGTGTTCTACCACATGAGTTACATCCCAGCCCAGAGAGTTTTATTTTTATGCTCCCAGTGCCTAGATTAATACTTAGATATGAAGAGTTAAATGTTTCATAAATAGTTGGAGTAGAAGTATATATAAGTAAGAGGAGAAAGAAAATTTCTTAACAACTATAATACAAATGAATGCTTTAAAATCCGTGACTGTTAGTCTATGAGCCTCTGTGTGCATATCTGGGTAATTGGGAACCAGATTCATTCAGTCATTCACAACACATGAAGCCTGGAGCCAAAGTGCCTGAGTGGATACCTAGTTCCACCATTCACTGGCTCTAATTACTTCCTGGCCAAGTAACTTCTGTGTTATTGCTGCCAGTTTCTAAAGCAGGAATAATAATGGCATCGATTTTATGAAGTACTTGTAGGAATTAAAATTGCTATGCATAAAGTAAATATAAAATCAGGGCAAATTAGCACAAAAATCTCATTTTTTCTATTCAACAGAAGTACTAATAAAGTTAAAAGCTGGAAAGCAAGCACATGTAAACTATGACTACTGAGGATTTTCAGAGATTTTTCCATTTTATTCTTTTCAAATACATCCTTGCTGAAAATAATGCAGGCAAGCTCAAGTTATAAATTCTGTTAGATACACTGGAAAGAAAAAAACAAAACTTCGTTAATCATGCAAAACTTAATGGAGGATGGTCTGTAAACGTGTCATGATACCTGTCACTTAGAATAGAAGTGTACAACCATTTGCAAAAGTGATTTAGTTGTTTAGTAATAAACAGCATCATTTTGAACATAAAAACAATAACCACAATACTTGAATATAATCTTTCATTTCTTACACGTGAAAGTTACAATGTATGTGTTCTATATGATATTCAAATATAAATCATAAAAGGTCACCCTTCAATTATGAGATGTTATAGTATTTCCCACTGTCAAAATATGATTTATTATGAGAGAAGATTCAAGACCACAAACTGTACGATTTCCCTCCAAGTAAATCATCACTGTCATTCTAAATCTAATTACAGGTATCTTATGTATAATTCCTGAGGTTGCTAAGCCTAAGTGATTAATAAAAATGAATCACTAATCACTGAAACCTGTCAACCATACTCAAGAGAACCAGGGCAGCAAATATACCTTACGTGAAGGACAATTAGCAACATTATATTGCTTCTTATTCATAAGTACATTCTTGTGTGTGTGCTACATTTTACTATTTTCTGGAATACTAATGACAACTACAATCTATTTATAATTTGTATTTTACATTTCAGCTTTTGAAAATGCATTTTAACTTTCTGCCCATTTTTCTTTCACTTAAATCACTTTTCTATGTATTTCTTTTCCATGTATTTCTTTGACACGGATATGTCACTGTCACTGTCACTGTCCTCCCATTGTTCATCGATTTGCTCGAGCGGGCCCAGTAACGTCTCCATTATGAGACTTGTTACTGTGTTTGGCATATCGAATAGGGATATGTGCCTAGCACAAACTCCGAAAGAAAAAAGGAGTTCAGCATAAACCATATTGCTAGTTCAAAGAGATACATACAGGCTGAGACTCCTGTATCAGTTAGGGAATGGCTGGTACTCTCCTGAAATCTAAGTTTCCCGAAATCACCCAAGATTCCAACCTTGAAAGCAAACTCTTCTCTGAGTCTGAAGCCTGCTATGCTATTTTCTGCTCACTAATGTACACACCACCTAACGTCCATTAACAGATTTTTAAAACAAAAATATGCTGTTCTTGTCTGAAAGTACCATTTCAAATATATTTCCATTCATTAAACAAATATTTACTTAACACTTGCCACACACAAGCAATGTAAACTCGAAAAAAAGAATTAAATACCATCTGCCCCTCAAGAAAGCACACTCTAGAAGGTGAGAGAAATGAATAAAAAAAAACATAGTTATAAGAAAGTCTTTTATAGTGGTGTGTTCTAAGTACCAACAAAAGTGGTCAAACTCTTTCGGCATCTGTATCACAAGCCATGATGACTAAAGTGAGAGAGAGAGAGAGAGAAAGAGAGAGAGAAAGAAAAGAGGTGGCTGCCATGGAGGTAGGCTGGGGTGGGGAGTGGCTTGACGAGTGGGAAGAAACTAGGGACACTGGTGCTGGGAAATTACACTGATAGAGGGATGGGCGCTGGAACACTGCATGACTGAAACACAATCACAAACAATTCTGTAAGGCTCTATCTCACACTGATTCAATAAAAAAAATGAAAATAAAAGTAATGAAATGAATAGTGGTCAAACTGCTTCTATGTACAAGGGAAGACTTCTGGGTGGTGGTGAAGGGGAGACGGGGAATTACCGAGGAGGGAGAGAAAGGATTCAATTTAGCTAGCACCTAGCTTGACATGGATAAGGAAAACTAAGGCAGCTAACAGTTGAGTCCTGAGCTGAAAACTGATTAGAAAAAGGTAGTTACGTAAAGTTCTGAAGAAATTAACTTGCAAATACAACACTGTCAATAGCTCTGAAAAACAGCCATCTGAGAGAATGCTTTATAAGTACCTCATCTACAGAAAGAAATCAATAAATTATAGTATGTCTTCTTAATATATTGAGAAACATTATTAAGAGAGCTACCCGTGACATATTCGATATGCCAAACACAGTAACGAGTCTCAAAATGGAGACGTTACTGGGCCCGCTCGAGCAAATCGATGAACAACGGGAGGACAGTGTTTGTTAGATATAAGAAATCTATACACAGTTCCTGCCTTTAAGGAATCCATAGTATAGTAGAAAATATGAAATGGATATGCAAACAGAGCAAAATAGTTCCTACTTCCTAGAAGTAGGAGGTCAAAGGTTGTAGTGGGGTTCCAGATAAAGATACCTCAGATCAGAACACCTAAGCTAAAGAAACCCACAACAAATTTAAAACTAAGCTTTAATGTTCTCCAAAAGCAAGACAAAGAAGAAATGAGCAAAGGATTGCATATACAACACTTACTAATAAAATGTTTAGAAAGTATCTCACTGAGATATTTCTTTTCCTATGCTAGATGAGCAATTTATCTCATAAGTCTTTACATGAGATATCCTGGGTTTGATCCCTGGTAGGACATATGGTCCCCTGAGTTCTTCCAGGAGTAACCCCTGAGCTCAAGCAAGGTATGGCCAAAAACAAACAAAATCCTTTAGAGTAAAATTAATCAGAATGAGAGGGACAGAACCAGAACAATCTCTCCACATGTGAGATGTAGAGAAACCACTACTTACACTACCCAGCCGTCGCCACACTTCAGGATGCTTTCCGGACACATCATAAGACACTAAATACCCATCTTCCGGAATTGTCGTACCGTATTTGATAGGGTTCAAATATGGTAACACCTTCAAGGGTGATTAGAGTTCGCCCCAAAAGCCTCTATCCCTCTCGGAAAGACTGGCAAGCTACCGAGAGTATTCTGCCCGCACGGAAGAGCCTGGCAAGCTATCCGTTGTGTATTCGATATTCGATAGAGAAACCAAGTAGGGAAATAACAAATGCCCAAAGGTAAGAGAAACTGAGAACTAGTTTCAGTGGGAAGCTTACCAGGGGAAGGAAAGAGTAGGGGAAGGAAGGGAGGACAATGGTGGAGGGAGATGCTGGAATGTGTTATGCATAAAACCCTATCATTAACAGCACTGTAAATCACAGCACCTTAAATTAAAATTTTTTTAAATATTCAACAGAGGCCTGAGAAATGGTGCATTGGGTAGGGCGTTGGCCTTACACACAGCCAACCTGGGTTCAATCTCCAGCATCCCATATAGTCCCCCGAGCACCGTGAGGTGCAACTCGTGAGTGCAGAGCCAGGTGTAGCCCCTGAGCATCAACAGGTATGACCCAAAAAGCAAACTTAATAATAATGATAATAATAAATATGTTCATCAGAGATCTTCTTTGGGAATGATCTTTTTTTTAATGTAGGAGTACTGCTATTTATACAGTCACTGATTAGCTGATTGAATTGGGCATGAACACCATCTTACCTTTTTTTCCCCATAATTTTATTTATTTATTTATTTTTCTTCTTATATTTATTTATTGAATCTCTGTGGGAAAAGTTACTAAGCTTTCCGGTTTAAGTCTCGGTCATACAATGATCAAACACCTTTCCCTTCACCAGTACTCATTTTTCACCACCAAGAACCCCGATATACCCCCCTGCCACCCCTCCCAATGCCTGTGAGGCAGGTGATTTCTACTTAACTCTTCTCTACATTGATTACATTCATCATTTCGACGAAAGATGCACCATTATTGTTTAGAATTTCCCCCACCCCCCAACAATCAGAATTGCTGAAAAGGCATTGTGAAATACTTTGTTTTCTATAGCTGGTT